GTTAGGCACTTTGAAGTTTCTATGAAAGTTGGTTTTTTAAATGTCTCCCCCTCCCCAAAAAAACTGATTCCAAACTGATCCCTGGCCTATCCCTTATTGATCAATTTCCTCAAAGCAAATTAATCCCAATCCCTCTTCCTTTCCTGTTTTAAATTCAATTACTCAGCATTGATTAAATGCAATATTCCACCTGCTCTCTCTGTGTGTGTGTATATATATATATATACACACACTTTGGATAATTATAGCTTAAAATCACCTTTAAAAAATAAAAAAAGGTGTGTCTGCAACTGGCGTCTCAATGCTTTTCTGGGTGTAGAAAAGTAACAATAAATCTCTCCCCTTCTTTCTAGCTTAACTCAAAACAAAACAAAGACAGAACACTAGCTTGCAAAAAGAGCCTGATGGAATTATAGAAAATGTATGTTCCCAGCCCCTTCAATCTATAGAGCAAAGATTTTCCTACAAAAAAGTATTTTTAAGTCATAAAATAAAAAAAGCAAAGTCAGTGGGGTTGTTTGGCTAATTCTCGCCTTATCAGTGGTCTGGAATCTCCTGATTCCTCTCAATTCTTTACCCAACGTCCTTTTCTCTCTAGCCTTGAGGTTATGTCAACAGAGCAGAGGGCTGGTGCTTTCTTATCTTGTTTTGACCTGATCTGTGGGTCTTTCCACCTAGTGCGTTGACTTGCCTTTCCAGTTTTTCTTCTGTAGCTGTTTTTCTCCGTTTCGGGATTTAACTGGGTTGGGGTATCGGCAGCATTGGAGTTGTCAGATGGAGCTCCAGTAGCAAGACTCCACTCTGTTCACTGAATAAAGACACACAAGAGAGGAGAAAGATGAGCTAATAATTCCATTAAGAGATTTCCAATAATCGTTACAGGTCAGTTCATTTGCAGCTGGACAGACACACACCTAATGGATATCAGCTTTGCTTGGCACACAGCAATACAGGCCAAGACTTTCCAGCAACCAGAGTTTTTGGGTGCCCAATTTCAGATGCCTTAAGGGGGCCTTGTTTATCAGGCAGAGCTATGAACTTGCTCTCTAGGTCCTTTAAAAAGTGTCTGAAGTTGGCTCCCCAGAAACGAGGCCAGCAGCATCGGTCCCCTTTTGGAAATCTTAGCTGCATTTCCCATTTCTGGGCTTTTTTTCATGCTGATCCTAATGCACTGATTCCCTACCCCATCCCAAACCAACTGCTTCAATTCATTCAAATCCACCCAAGCCACCTAGCAGGCCAGGGGCTGAGTCAGGGGGAGGGATAGCTCAGTGGTTTGAGCATTGGCCCAGGGTTGTGAGTTCAATCCTTGAGGGGGCCATTTAGGGATCTGGGGCAAAAATCTGTCTGGGGATTGGTCCTGCTTTGAGCAGGGGGTTGGACTAGATGACCTCCTGAGGTCCCTTCCAACCCTGATATTCTACAATTCTAATCTAGGTCTCCTGAGTCCCAATCCAGTGCACTAGCCCACTCTACTGGGACCCTGATCTTCATTTGGCCCTCTGGGCGCTCTTGAAATAAATAACTATAACAATAATTACTGAGTCAAACAAAAATTTCCTTCGATAGGTGTTAAAACTGAAAATAAAAAATCCAGTGTAACTTTCTCTGGGGCAGGATCTCAATGTTGCAATGTCTAGGTTGCAAACATGTAAGCAACTGGAAATTTCCAGTGGCAACAGCAATTTTTTTCCTTCGAAGTCTTGATCCCAAACTCACAAAGACACAGCCTACACGCATGATAGAGGGGTGACGGGGTGAAACTCTCCATAACAGCCCAGAGGTCAGCCTGGCTGATCTAATGGTTCCTTCTGGCATTAAAAACATCACTATGAATCCCAGTTTTTATACTGGTCTATCTGTTTTGGTTAGGAGGTGATTTATTTATTTTTAAAACCTTAGTAGTTATACCAGTACAACCCCTACTGTGGATGCAGTTAAACCAGCACCAAGATGCCTTATACCAGTAGAGTTTATTCGCCTTCTCACACAGAAACAGCTGCATCTCTCTACCAATATAACCATGTCCACACTAAGGTTATGTCTACACTACAGACTTCTGCCGGTCAGGGGTGCAAAGAGCTGAAACAGCTGTACCAACAAAAGGCCCTAGAGTGCACACAGCTGTACCAGCAACATTGTGCTTCTACTGGTATCGCTGGTTTTGCTCAGGGTAGAGGCTGGCATAAGCCGTACCAGCAAAGTGCAGTTTTGCCAGTACACATAGGCCAGGTCTACACTGCAAACTTACATCAGTATAACTACATCACTCAGGGGTGCGAAAAATCCACCCCCCTGAGCGATGCAGTTATACCGACCTAGCCCTGGGTGTAGACAGCGCTGTCCGTGGGAAGGGCTTCTCCCGTTAACATAGCTCCCGCCTCTCGCGGAAATGGATTAACGACGCCAACGGGAGAAGCTCACACAGTGGTGTAGCAGCGTCTTCACTGAAGCGCTACAGCGGCGCAGCTCCATTGGTGCGGCTGCAGCTTTTTAAGTGTGGACCTGCCTGCGATATCCGCTGCAGGAGAGCTTTGCTGGTATAGTATACCAGTATAAGAACGGCCATACTGGGTCAGACTAGGTCCATCTAGCCCAGTATCCTGTCTTCCGACAGTGGCCAATGCCAGGTGCCCCAGAGGGAATGGACAGATTATCATCAAGTGATCCATCCCCTATCACCCATTCCCAGCTTCTGGCAAACAGAGGCTAGGGACACCATCCCTGCCCATCCTGACTAATAGCCACTGATGGACCTATCCTCCATGAATTTATCTAGTTCTTTTTTGAACCCTCTTATAGTCTTGGCCTTCACAACATCCTCTGGCAAGGAGTTCCACAGGTTGACTGCGCGTTCTGTGAAGAGTATGGCTACACCAGCCAAGCACCGTAGACATGGGCCAGGAGTGGAAGGTTTACTGCTTTATAGTGGTACAGCCTGAGCGTGTAGACAAGCCAAAAGTCAATGGAAAGATTCCTAGTAGCTTCAATGGGCTTTGGACGAGGCCCTCCATTTGTTTATACGGGATCTAAATTTTAGCTCAAAGTTAAGCTGACAGTGTATCCCTTATGCTTCGAGGATAGTTTGATCATTAAAACTCGCTGGATTTACAAGTCAAAAATGCTCCCTCACCACTCCCCAGGTGTTCGTGTTGCAAATTTAAGCCCTTAACAATTCCTTCATGGCTCTTCCCACCTCCTGATGGCATGAGCAGCGCTAAAGCCTCGGCAATCAGCTGTTGACGGCTCTACCAGCGAGGGATGAAGAACTACAACCAAGGCTCAAAGCTGCAACAGGCCTGAAAACTTGCCTCAGTCAGTCAGGTCTACAGATCTGATTCATACAAACGGAACGGAAAAAGCGACCGTGTAAAGTTCTCCCCTTTCCAGCTACCACCACAGCTTTAAAAAAAAAAAAAAAGAAAAAAAGAAGAGAGGAAAGTCAAATAATTTCAGCCCTGATCCAGGAAAGCACTTAATCACATACTTAACTATCAGCACCTTAGTAGTACCACTGAAGTCAATTGGAACCGTTCCTGTGCTTAAAAGTTAAGCACATGCTTAAGTGGTTTGCTGGATCAAGACCAGATAAATTTAAAAGCACACTTAAAAGCAGCCAGGATACATTAAAGCTTCCTCTATTTGCATGCGGAGTACATAGGGGATTGCAGGGAGAAAGGAGAGTGGTGACGAGTTGCCAGCTACAGGGCTTTGTACCCTGCATCGGTAGAAAATGATACTGACGCAGCTGTGAATTCTGTCTTGCCATTGTAATTCACTGCCAGCTCCCTTAATGCCAAAGCACGAGCGGTAATAGAGTCTGTTGTGATAGATTAGAGAGAGACAGGATCCAGGCGCCCACCATTCACGAGAGAAGCATCCAGCTTCCACCTTATTCTCTGTAGTCTTATGTCTCAAAACAGGCTTTCAAAGCCACCTGCAGTTTAGACACCATCTGAACCCTCCTTGGTAACCTCTCTGCCGAGACTAAGGACTGAATGGGTCACGGACATGAGCTTCCCCTTTGGGGGACCCCTCCCCAGATCAAGGTTGAGGCACATTGGCAGTGGGAGAAGCAGTGGGGGTTACATGCCTTGCCAGTGATAGAGGGGACTTGAGATCTGAGACTGTCAAGCCAGCCGGAAATGCTTTTGCTTTAAAAGTATATATCTGATGTCTCTTCCCAAGGAAAATACGGTCTGAACATTTGCAGTCACGGGGCTGTCACCAGTCTTGCCTGCCCCAGGTACTAAAATAAATAAAAGTCACTAGTCAGGATCCCAAAGAAATCACAGATTTTTTGGGGGTTTGCTTTTTTTTTTTTTAATATAGATGTGGGGTTCTTTCTATTCACTTCTCGGCCTTTGAGAGCACTGCCCATTATTTGTCTCCTTGTGCTCCCCTGTCTGACTGTATACATCTGTTCTCTCTTTTCTTATACTTAGATTAGAAGCTCTTTGGAATGGGGGCCCTCTTTTTCTTCTGTTTGTACAGCACCTTGCACAGTGGGGTCCTCATTTATGACTATAATACAAGTAATAACTGAGCCTTTAGGTATCAGAGGGGTAGCCGTGTTAGTCTGGATCTGTAAACAGCGACAAAGAGACTGAGCCTTTCGGTTTTACGTTTTCAATCTTTTCTCCACCACCACCAGGCCTTGAAACTTTAAAAAAAGGAAAGTTGAGATTCTCCCACACCACATGACGCCAGGAGCTGGGGTTTTAAGAAACATCAAATATCACAAGACTTGCAACAACAAAACCCAAAATGACAAGAGATGGCAATGTCGTGTTGCAGAATCTCACATTCCTTCCCCGGGCCACTCCCCGGAGCTGTCAAAACAGCCATTGCATCACAGCCGACAAAGGCAACTTATCAGAAGTGAAACCCTGAGAAAACACTTTTCACCCAAATTCCTCCCCAGCCTTAGTCCACTAGAGTATGTCACTTGCTTATGTCCAGGCTCAGTTTAAATGGCTAGCAGGCCTGGAGTCTAGCGGGGAAAAGCAGGACACCCGAGTTCTATCCCCATCTCTGCCACTGACTCGCCGTAGCCCACTGGGTAAACCACTCCCAGTTCCATGCCTCAGTTTCCCGACCTGTAAAATGAGGAAAACAGCACATACCCATACCTAACCACATACCAAAACACAAGGGGGGAGGGGGGGCTTTTACATGCAAAACCTATTCAGTTAAAAGTTTTGTGATGGGTAAGAACTGTAATTTACTTCGTACAGGCTCTGAAAGCCCTCGGACAAGGCCACAGATTAGACTCAGAACTGGTGAAACCATGGGGCTCGATGGGACGATGGCGCTGCATTGAAATCGGAGTTGCATTCATTTACACCGGCAGTGAATTTGGCCCCAGGATAGAAAGGGTTAAGTCGGAGAGGCCTGGGTGGGAAGGAGAAGGGGTCTCCGTTCCCACATGAGCAGCTGGTTTCAAATATCTAGGCCTCAGGACCCAGATGCCACGGGGATGGGTGCTCTATAAATAGCTATAGAAAGGGAGGGCTGACCTTTTTACTGCTGTGTCCGGTAGGATCATCTGAGGGGACGGAGTCATGGGGACCACAAAGCAAGGAAGAGAGCTTGCTTGCTCGCCATTCTCCGTGAGAGATGGGGTTAAGAGAGCAGCTTTTAAACAGGCAAGCTAGGGTGATCCGCGGCCCCCATCCTCTTCCCAGAACACGAGCCGCTTCTGACTGCAAATTACAGGTTTATGAGCTTAGCCTGGAGTGACCCAGTTTCTTAACTGGGGTCCTGTTGTCTGGGCTCTCAGCAGCCACCACGGCTTGTGTGGCTCTCCTGGGCACACCCAGCATAGCCACAGAGCCAGGGGCGTCTCTCTCTGAGCCCCTCCCTCCTCCAGGATTGCACGCTCCAGCGCAGCAAAATAAAAGGAACATCTGGGGAGGAGATGGCAGGCCTTAGGCCGGAACCGGAGAGGAGCCAGGATCCCAGCAAACTTCCCACACTCGATTCATTGCCTTATAAACTCAGGCCGCCGCTGCCACGGCAAAGTTTTCCCCCTGCTTTGGATAACTCCTCCAAGCCAAATCACAAGCCTCTGGATCCACCCCTCCTTGTGTTTTACCACATAGCAATCTTTGTCTCAAGCTTTGCAACACACACGCACACACAAAGAGACGCTCCCAAGCTTGTCCACTAATTGTAGAAACACCGCACCCTAGGTGGCTGGGCATTTTTTCCATAATCGTCCTGAGTTCCCTTTGCAAACAAACCACCGGCAAACCCCAGAGACGGGTTCTGAGCAGCAGATTCTGCCCTGCTTCAGAATCTGGGAGCATGCCGCTCTGGGGGCAAGATGGGTTTGCCCACATGGGTGCCCCCGGCCGACATTAAAAGCAAAGCTTTTGCACCGTGCAAACAGACGCTGCTTGCCCTGGGGACTAGGGAAACAGCCTGCAGCAGGTTTAAAGCGCTACAGGAGAGATTATTAGCTCTTAAAAACAACCCCAGCCCCCAAATACACCTCTACCCCGATATAACATGACCTGATAGAACACGAATTCAGCTATAACACGGTAAAGCAGTGCTCCGGGGGGGGGGGCTGCGCACTCCGGCGGATCAAAGCAAGTTCGATATAACGCGGTTTCACCTATAACGCGGTAAGATTTTTTGGCTCCCAAGGACAGCGTTATATTGGGGTAGAGGGGTATTTTATTACAGTGCACCCGCCAGTGAGTCAGCCACCCCTGCCCCAAAGACAGCCAGCAAATGAGTTGTCGCCTTGCGGATCCAAACCACCCCCCCTACCTTACAGATGTGACAGTGATCCCAACCCACTGATTACCCCCCTCCCATACACATACACCCTCTGCAAACTCTGCTTCTCAGCAGCCATATTTCTTTCACAGCTGGCATCTGTCCCACTCCCCACCACGCAAGCCGCGTGCCTCCTGATTTTTACCTGATATGGGTGTAAAAGTTTCTTTGCAGATTCCACTCTGAAGCTGCTTCAGGGCAAGGAACGACTTTTCTCACCTTCGTCTTGTTGTCAGCACTGCGCTGCTCTCCCTCCCCACCCTTCTTGGTGCAAATGTAAATGCAACTAATCCAGATTGTACTACTACTGGGCTGAAACCTTGTATCTTTCCTCCCCCCACACACATAGATGCAGGCAAGCTCTCCTGCCTGCATGGGGTGCCCAAAACACCCCCACGCCCCTGGAACTCTCTGATGCTACTTTGCTGCCTTCTCTAGGAAGTTTTTTATTTTTTATTTTTTTTCCCCCTGGGTGAATTGATCAAGGACAGGACTCCAGGCTGCTGGGGAAAGAAAAGTGCTTGGGTTTCTTGGCCTAGCTTTTGTGTTTGCGGAAGAGACATCTGCTGGGTTGGAGGATTTACAGCAACCAAAGAGGAGGGAAAAGAGATTATTTCCTCCCTCCCAGTTGAAGCAATACACAAGAACTGGCTGGAGAAAGAAAGGCAGGGCAAACAGTACCAGGGAAATTAGCCTTAATTGGTATGTGCAGGAGCTGTCTCATAGGATAAGAGTCCAGGGCGAAAGCAAAGCAGATCAACCTACTGGGGATTACACTGAAATATCATCATTCTCATTTAAGGCCTGCAGGATCTGACATATTGGGTCAGTGGGCTGGTCCATCTTGTTTCTTATCCAACAGCACCCAGTTCCTGTGATTTTATTGTGAGTCTGGCAATATTTGGTGCGTGTTTCTTAAAGCTCCCGCTGCTGGAGGCATGTGATTAGGTGTGACTCTCAGGTGTGGCATGCGTGTTTTAAGTAGGTGTCTAGCTTTCATGGTTGCGGAGCAAAGCATGATTGAGACAACAGATGCCAAAGAAAAAGAACCTCGCTTTAAAAAATAAAAATAAGCAAACAAAAAAGCCCCTGTGTTTTTTAAGACAAACTCGTCAGATTCTGGGGGGCCTCACTCATCTTTAGGGGAAACTCTTCCAGTTGTGGGATACTCTTTAAATTTAGGACAGCAGCTGAGGGGGTTGTAGCAGAAATGATCAGATAATTCAGAGAGTACAATCTGCCTAGCCCTGCAATGACATTAATTAGGAGGGTGCACACTTTGTAGCTTGCGTAGGCTGAGCTCACTGCCCACCTCAGGAGCTTCTCGCATCCCTCCATCTCCAGCTCCCTGGGTACCACGCTTCCATACCCCTCTATTCCAGGAACTCCCTGCAACCTCCCCATGCCAGGGGCATGTACCCCCCATTCCTCCAACATCCCCCATTCCCCCCAGGCTCGGGGCTGCATGCCCCTCATTTCACCAATTCCCATTTCTCTCCCCCCCCCATGCTGGGGGCTGTGTGCTACCCCATTCTCCTCTCCCTCCATTCTCCCTTCCCCCTATGTCTCCCATTCCTCTCTGCTCCCATACCAGCAGCTGTGTGCCCCCCACTCTCTCATCCTCACCCCATGCCAGGGTCTCTATGAGTCACCCCTACATCCTCCCAGATGAAATAACAAACCCCTCTTGCCTATCTCCATAAGAAATGCTGCCACCTGGACATTATAACTAGTACATCACAGCTCATGGGGTTTTATACCTGATGCCTCCCTCCAGCAGGGCCAATTCTACTCTCACCCTGGACAAATATCACCAGAAGACCTTTAAAAATCATCCTGATTGGCATAATGGATGACACAGGGTTGTGCAGAACCATTCATGTTTAGGTTTCAACCTAGCCCAAGTTATTAAGTAGCCAAAAAAATACCAGCCTGTCTGAAATGAGCTTGCAGGGATAGGCACGTGCATCACAAGACCCACCGTCACCCTTACAGCATTCCCACCTCTCGAGATTTCATTGCGAGCCTCACGAGATTCGTGATATTTCCAGCTGCAGGAATCATGAGATTGCAAGAGACTCTTAAAAAGGAAACAAGAAAAAAAGTAACTTTCTTGTCCTTATGGTTGAAGAGAAATGCTTAAAAACATGAAGCAACTGAACCCTAAAGTCTCAGATAGCAGAAAGCAAAGAAGACACCCCCCCCCAAATGTTGCGGTGCTATAAAAATATTCATAATTTTTAGGCCAATCACGATTTAAAATCATATTTGATTTTTTTACCCTTTAGACATACCCTTTTCTCTTTAATCTGTTTTGCGCTTCTTTATTAGGAAGTAAAACTGGTTCACAGGCAACATTGTCGGCCTAATTGCAATTTGCTGCAGGGTTATTTTTGCCCTGTGACGATTTGTTTTTTTAATTAAAGTATTTATTGCAAAGGGAGTGTATGACAGAGACATGCACTCACACACTGGCCTCCCTATTTCTGAACCGCAGCTGTCAAAGAAATGACATCTCCCACAAGCCAGCTGCTGCACTGGATTTGGGTCTCACATCCGAAGCTTAGCTCTTTAGCAAGAGGAGTAATTCAGAAGACACAATGAGAAGCAGGACTGCTGCAACAACATAGGAAAAAGAACCAGTCCAGCAATGAGCCCTTCTGAAAGGAGAGCCAGTGGGTTATGTAAAACACCACTTGGATGTTAGGTAGCAGGGAATATTGTTTTCTGGCAGTGGTTTTGGATCAAAGAAATGTAGCGAACAACAAATCAGGATTCAGGGCAACAACAGTTACAGGGTGTGGAAAGCTGGAAGAGGGATGGGGAATCGTGTGACTGTGAAAAGCCAGACCCCCGCCCCATCAGTACTTCCACAGAGCTCCCTCTGTCCCTGTCACTTGGCCTGAATGATCTGCCTCACTCCTGTCAAACTGGATCACAACCCCTTCCCTTTCCTACACACAGCCCCCAATATCCTCCAGCAACTACTCACCCACCTCTTTCCCGCAAATCCCACAACTACACACACTCACACCTGCTGCCGATGTGTATTTCCATATAGCCCCCACCTGCAAAGTACTTCCCCCCCACACACACCTTCACCTACCCAACCCCACAGCACATGAACACCCCTCATAAGAATGGCCCTACTGGGTCAGACCAAGGGTCCATCTAGCCCAGTGTCCTGTCTTCCGACAGTGGCCAGTGCCAGGTGCCCCTGAGGGAATGAACAGAACATCAAGTGATCCATCCCCTGTTGCCCATTCCCAGCTTCTGGCAAACAGAGGCTCGGGACACCATTCCTGCCTATCCTGGCTAATAGCCATTGATGGACTTATCCTCCATGAATTTATCTAGTTCTTTTTTGAACCCTGTTATGGTCTTGGCCTTCACAACATCCTCTGGCAAGGAGTTCCACAGGTTAACTGTGTGTTGGGTGAAAAATACTTCCTTTTGTGTTTTAAACCTGCTGCCTATTAATTTCATTAGGTGACCCCTAGTTCTTGTGTTATGAGAAGTAGTAAACAACACTTCCTTATCTACTTTCTCTACACCAGTCATGATTTTATAGACCTCAATCATATCTCCCTTTAGCTGTCGCTTTTCCAAGCGGAAAAGTCCCTGTTTTACTAATCTCTCCTCATACGGAAGCTGTTCCATACCCCCAATAATTTCTGTTGCTCTTTTCTGAACCTTTTCCAGTTCTAATATATCTATTTTGAGATGAGGCGACCACATCTGCACGTAATATTCAAGATGTGGGCGTACCATGGATTTATATAGAGGCAACATGGTATTTTCTGTCCTATTATCTATCCCTTTCTTAATTATTCCCAGCATTCTGTTCACTTTTTGGACTACTGCTGCACATTGAGCAGATATTTTCAGAGAACTATTCACAATGACTCCAAGATCTCTTCCTTGAGTGGTAACAGGTAATTTAGACCCCATCATTTTATATGTATAGTTGGGATTATGCTTTCCAAACCCCTCGGCACACAAACAGCCTCACACAGCTCCCTACAAACATGCTTACTCCTACATACAAACACGCAACTACACACACACTCCCCCATCACAACCCCTTGACTACCAACCCTCTACTCATTACACACACATACTCCCCATCACAACCACTACACTCACACCGCCCCATCACAATCCCCTACACTCACACCAAACTACACACTAACTACACACACGCTCTCCCGACTCAATTCCCAATGTTTATAACCCTCCTACACACACTCCACCGTCAGAACCCATACACACTCACTCTCAGCTACACATACACATCACAACCCCCTAAACTCACAACCCTCCTATGTACAAACTCATAACTACATACCCTATCCTGCACACACAACCCTCCCACACATACTCCACCATCGCAACCCTTACACACACACTCCTGATCAGAACCCCATGCACACTCATTTACAACTACACACATGCTCTGCCATCACAACCCCCACAATAATAGAAACCCCCCTACATTCACAAGCACACACACTGCCCCATCACACCCCTTCCTACACACTCCACCAAGACAACCCTTATACATTCACTATACACACACACTCCCCCATCACAATCCCCCACAATCACACCAATCCCATACACATTCACCACACAAACACACTCTCCCCTACACACTACTCACAGCTACACACACACATCACAATCTCGGACATGCACAACCTTTCAACACATTTACAACTACATTCCCTCCCCATCACAACCCCCTACACTCAGACCAGATTCCTATACACTCCCCCCACATCCCCAACACAACCCCCCACAGTCACCCCGACACACTCCCTCCTATATTCATAACCCTCCTATAAAATCACAAGTTACCACATTCACATACACTCCTGATTACACACACACTCATAACTACAAACACATCCATCACAACCCCCCATGGTTTCTCACATCACACCCTCTCCTATTCACACAACCCACTGACACACACACACTCTCCCATCACAGCTCCCCACGGTCACACCTTTCCCTACACACACCCCACAGTCACACCCTCTCCTACACACACAGACAACCCCACAGTCACACTCTCCCCTACACGCATAACCCCCGCAGTCCACCCTCCCCTACACATACACAACCCTCGCAGTCACACCCTCCCCTATACACACACACAACCCCTGCAGTCACACCCTCGCACACACACACACACACACAACCCCACAGTCAGACTCTCCCCTATATGCATAATCCCCACAGTCACACCCTCCCCTACACACTCACACACAACCCCCGTAGTCACACCCACACAGAACCCCCCAGTACACTCTCCCCTACACACGCACAACCCCTGCAATCAAACCCTCCCCCCACAACCCCCGCAGTCACACCCTCCCCTACACATACACACAACCCCGCAGTCAAACCCTCCCCCCCAACCTCCGCAGTCACCCCCTCCCCTACACCCCCCCCACAACCCCCGTAGTCCACACCCTCCCCACCCACAAC